CGCTCCCAGACAAATAATACTGCCTTGACAGCGGATATATCGCTGTGGGACAATATTGCTCCTCAAAGATGTGCTTCAGTTAGTGGAATCAGGAACAGCTCTGGGATCTGCGCTATCCATTCTGAATTCAAATATGGTTGCCCTAGAATTTTTGAGAGGGCATGTATATCGGCAGTGGCTTTTCCCAGGTCCGGAACGGCCTTCTAGCTAGCTGTTCCTTCAGGTGATCTCCCTGGTCGGCGAGTATCAGTAATGGAAGGAGGAGAGGTTGATGCTGATGGCTTTTACGTGACTAGTCAGGTGTTTGCTTATAACTCATTAATAACCGAACTTTTTGGTTAGTCTGAGCTTGAAAGCGGTTAAATTTATTGTCCTGGATGGGCCATTTTACTCAGACTAGCTGTGGTTCTGAGCAGGTATGAGCTCGACTCAACTCTGATCGTTCTGGTGAGACCTATGTCTCTTTGCCAGCACTCCCACAGGCTCCACAACTTTTAATAGTCAGTAGTTTCCTTTCGCATCCCCTCCAGTGTCATTCTCATTGCATCCCCTTCATTTTCTAGCGCCTGTGCACGTTGTCCATCTCCATTCTTCTGGTAATAACCGTGAAAATCGACTAACAGGAAACGTGGCGACTTTTGAGTACCTCACGCTTTTCTGAAACCTTCTATCTAATATGGCCGTAGTATTCCTATGACCTCACATTGCTATAATGGTAAACAGGATCCTTGAAGTCCTTCTTACCTCGTCATTCCTCCGATACTAAGCCTCTGAGACAAGCTTCACCCTATTTTAAGGTATTTCTAGGTATTTCATTCAAGTTTGCTTGATTTTCATATCCTGCTCGGTCTGTGGTTCTAGGTTCTAGGGCTTTCACGAATGGTGAGAATTCAGAAATGTGAGAAATCATTTTTCAGCCCTGTGGTAATCCCTAAGACTAGTGAGCGATTTAATTGCCCTGTTGTTATTGGTACTTGTAAGTTATTCGTTGAGCACCACGTGAGCTACAAATATTTTAGTCGGTTGAGTTGTAAAAAATGTCCTTCCTATTCGAATAGATTGCAAAAGGATCGAGTAATATAATTTTGTAGAGAATGATGAATTCCCTGACTGTAAACAATGGAAAATAATAGATAAATATAGATGAATTACACTAATGTATTCATAAAGAAGAATGAAAAGTTGTTCTGTAAAAGCTTGAGATAAAATTGAACTCGCCATGCCAATGTCATCAAGAAAATACCGTAGCATGAGGAAAACACGTTTCCGATCAAACATGAGCTCCCACTTGTTACCGTACCAGTCCCTGAATCTGCCGTACGCCCTATGCAGGTTCCCCGCATGCTCAGCAGTACAACTAGGTGTTTATACCACAACTGAATAAGTCAATCAAAAGTGATTACTTAAAATAAAAGTTGATAGAATCCCTAAACAAATGTAGTCTTTTATATAAAAAAGGTCGTTGAAACTATTGAACTAAAATTATGGTAAAGAACTACCACTCAAAATTGATTGATAACTAGCCTTGCTTCAACTGCTGAAGACAGAATGTCGAGAATATCCTTTTCCGGGTGTCTGGGTCTTTATTGATTCCTAGTTACGGGAAGAAGCAGATACTTACCAGTGATTGTGGCATCCTGGGCAATCCCCTGTTTCGCGATCTCTGATCGTTTTGGCATAGTTTTTCAAAGTTCTAATTCTATATGGGTCGTTAAAGGTATTTCCAACCCTCCGTAATCACATTACCGTTTTTTGGGGTTCTCTCGTTTGATGTGCGAAAAGTAGCACTTCACGCTGGTCTCACAGAGCCTATAGGATATAAAGGGTCAGGGGTTGGGCGGAGTCACCTGAAGTACTGCTCTTTACTCATTGTTAGGTACTTCACATCTAGTCAGCACTCGATTCGAAAACGCTCTTATCTCAGGATAGTTATCAACCACCGTATCAGGTATGTCTGCCGAACTCTTTTTGGACAGTACCTCTTGAGACTATCATCATTACGACATCCCTTCAGTACCTTTATGGTGCTTAAGTAGTAGTGTACGCATGCATGGCGCATTCTTTCGGAATTTCTCGGTGAAAATCAATTCTTGGAGCGTTTTCACGCCGTGCAGGGCACTCTGCTAGTTGTTTTGATTGTTTTCGTGCGATGTGATTTTCATACAATTATACGTCTGTTGTTGTCGTTCCTCTACCATGAGAGGAATTTCGCAGACGTATCGATTTCTTCTATTAATTAATTTTGGCTATTATTTTCAGGGTATACTGCGTGGTTTGTGGAACATCTAGCATAATATCACAAGACCGTAACCATGCAGTTGTTGAAGCCCGGTAAGTTCATTGAACACTATCGTTCTTATCTCTTTGTTACCCTTCAACGTATTGATCATCACTAATTCAGTTTTTTCCCCCTTAATTTTACGACCTTTCTCATTAGAGAAGGTGACTACGTGACTCTAATGCCTATTTGCTATCGTGATTTACTGGAAATAATTTGGGTGTTGGGGAATTCGTCAAGCAGTCATTAACGGCGAATGACCTTATTGATCTACAGTATCTTGGATTACTTCACAGTACGATCATGAGGGGGATCCCATAATAATATATCGGGCTTTAAACTGCCTGATTGCCTAGTAAACTGCCCAGATGTCGACGGCAAGAATCGGTTTTATGGAATTCTCATCTAAATATCCAAAGAAGTGACCATGTGTCGATCAAGCCCAGCTTTCAGATGGATAATGCAGGAGTTTTCCCCTAAATCTCTCAGTTGTCCTTTTTGGTAACCCCTCCGCCATGTGGACGAGTTGACTCGCTGAGAATTCCGTATTTTCCAGTAGATTGGAAACGGTATTGGAACGGGGCGTTGACAGGTATGCACACAGGTGTGGGTAGTAGTTGACACGCCTTGACAAGTGAATCAAGGTTTAACCTGTAAACGCGTAGATGTCAAGCTTTTTTTAGGTGTCAAGACACCCCATCTAGTCATTTGAGAGGGGGGAGGGATTCCCTTGTAGGTTTTCCAGAAGCTCCTGGCCATTGGGCATTTTTTGATTACTATGAACTTTGAGAACAAATAAGACAAAACTTCCCCTATTCTCCTGTTTTCATAGAAGAAAAGCTTCTAAACTGTCGATTTTTTTGGAAGAACAGGGGAAATTCCCAGGCACGAGGAATTTGAAAAATGACCCACCCTGGATGGTAGGATATGGCTGCAATTAGCTCCAAAATGAGATTGGAGGAGAGCTGAAGGGTTAGCAGACAGAAAAGGGAATGGCAGCCCAAAAAGTCGAATCCACTTTTTCGCAATCGGTCAGACATATTTTAGGAGAAAGAGTCTAGTCTCCTCAAATAACTTCATCCCCTCACACACGAGAAATACGATGATATCACCCATTCCAACCTTTTATCACCCTTTATCATCATTACCAGTACTCTGGTTTCGATCTTATCTTATCATGGTCAATTTTGACCCACGATTGCCACGTGGCGCCCACGGCCATGGGAATTTGGCATTTTTGGCGCAAGAGCCTTCATTCTCAGAGCAGACCTTTTATTATCCTTTTGGTTGCTCAGCTTTGCGCCATGAAATCGCAACAATTTCATCATTCCCGGACCAGTCTACCTTACTCACGGAGCAGATTATCTTCTCCAGGTAATTATGGAATGGGTGAAAATGTAGTTGAAGGGGCACTGCCCTGCGTCTCTAACCAGTAAGACTAAGGGCTGGAGCGCGAAGAAGGATGGGACGACCGCCCTTGGGGCGTATGGTGGTGCTTTGAAATGATTCCAAGGCAGGGGATGAGGTATCTTTTGGAGCTCGAGAAGAGAAAGAGCAACGAAGGGTGAATGGGAAAGCACTCGCCGGCAGGATACTCCCTCGATGAGAGAGCGCAGACAAGGGTACGAAAACGCCTGCTCCTCAAACTATGTTTTCACCTTGGAATGTATATTACAACAACTTCGTCATTTTTCACACTGGGTCGACGCTTTGCTCTTTTTCTCGGAAATCATGCTGTAATTCTATTGGACCTAATCGCTAGGGAAGTGTTGAGTTAGTTTGGGATGCTGTATTATTCGAAAAGGGCGCAAGAAATACCCTGATGGAACTATAGTACCATAAGCGAACAGGGGCTGGGGCTACAATGGGGTACAAATGTTTTTATAAGAGAATCTCTAGGAAAAGCATTATAGTGCTGACAGCGACATTTCGTGAAAATCAATAATTGATCGTTTTCAGGTTATTACCGGTTCGACATACTCATTTTGCTCACCTATCAAATGAATCATTTCTTTGGAGTTCAACAGCTATTCCCGATCTTCCTTAATCATACGCCGAAAACTTTCTGTGTAGGTGAGTGACAGTTTATTGAATAGGATTACGGTATTCTTTCGTGATTTGTGCAAATACGCGTGAATTCCCGTAGCGTTTTTCAACGCTATCAAATTAATGGAAAAAATTGCACTTGTCACCGTAGGGTATGAGTTATACTCCGAGCGAAAACAGGAAATTCTCTGGGGACCAAGGTCGAAACAGTTTTTTCGAGAGGGGTTTTTGCACAAAAGGGCCTACACTGGCATAAGTTTTGTTTTGATCACCCACTTCGGGTGCTCTCTTCCCAATTCCTGGAATTACCATCTGTTGGTCTAGGCTCTCTCGCCAAGATTGTGTTTGATAGTGATCAATGAAGGGAAATAAAGATCTGGCTGCTGGATTCAACGAACAATAGGCTTAAAGGATTCAGGGATAGCATGTAGTGAGGGTCATGGATAGAAAAGAGTTAATTACTCAAAAAGGAGTGCTATAGATGCCTGGACGCGACCCAGGATCGAAGAGAAGGCGTCAGAACAGTGGTTTTCTAGGTAAGCCTATGGTAGCGCTTACTTCAGCTTGATACCGGTGAATTTCTAGTGGATGTGAAAACCCTGCGGTTGGTGAGAGAAAAAGAACTCTATCAAAGTTCGGAAAAGCTGGAGTTTTCCATATAATTCCGCTACTTCGCGCAGTTCCCTTTGCTTCTGCCAAATACCAAAAATGGCCTACTATCACTCAAAATTACCGACTAAATTTTGCTAAATTTTAAATTACTTTTGCTACTAATCGTCAGATCTTTAATGGTAGACAACAGAAAGGATCTTGGAGTGCCTGGTGGTTGTTTCAAACGAGTAAACATATATACACCTCTGTTAAAGCATTAAGAGAAAACCCTGACTGCTCTTACCAGGCAATCGATTATCGATTTTTCAGGAGAAAAATGTTACGACACACCAAAGAACAAGTGCATGGAATGTCCGAATTGCCCAGATCTTTGCGCCAATGCCACCTTGCCGGCTGCTAAGGTTGGAGGAATTCTGTAGAAAAAAAAANAAAAAAAAAGATCAACAAGCTCTAGAAAAAGGAAAAATTCAATGATAATGCTGAATTTTCAGGCAGAATGTGTTGCAAAGTATTCACACGCTTACTATAAATCCGCTGCCATGGAGTTTAATTTATACTGTAAACCTGGATGGAAAGAGTAAGTCGATAATCCATGGCTTTGTTTATTTATTTATTGTCATCGCATAAGCCGGGATTGATTATTTCTAGAAATTGGAATAAGAATTAGGGCAAGTAGTGGAATTTCATGACCACTAAGCTATGTTATGGGGATTGAAGAAGGAGAATCTGAACTCATCGAAGCCCATTTTTCAGTTTCCGTCCGGCTTTCGCCCAGTATTTCGGAGTACTGATCGGAAACATCATTCTTGGTTGGGTTGCAGATAAAATCGGACGTCGTAAGACCTATCTAATTTCGCTATTCATTGGAATTCCAGCCCTAGCCCTATCCGGTAGGTTCAATAAATACGCTATAACTGATAGAGAAGGAGATTATTGATCTTATTGATTGTTTAGGAGCCTTCGACAATATTGCCGTCTTCTATTTCTTGAGAGCTGTGACCGGTATTGGTATAGCTGGTAAGCTAATAGATCATTTCTCAGGTTTCTGATTCGTTAGAAATACAAAAAATTGAACATTAGCCCTTTTCTGCAAGATTTATTGACTGATTTATCAATCGATATTTTAGGTACCATGGTAGTCGGATGGGCTTACTTCTCTGAGCTTGTATCGTCACATCAACGTTTCAAGCTGAGAACGTTCAGTAACTGGGTAAGTCAATTTCGTTGAGTTATTGATTAATTCTGCGGTATGCGCCATGTACTCTTCACTTGGCCATTAATATTGGGGTGTATATCAGTCGCAGTTAAAGACCGGGAAGCAGGAAAGAACATCGAAAGCTTGTCAATTTCTTGGTATAGTATGCGACGAGCATTCGAAATTTCTTAGAATTCGGTGGACTTGAATGCTACGGCCTTTTCAATAATTTCTAGAGCTAGTGGGAGCAAAAATCAGATATTCTGCCGTCTCATTCTAGTCTTCACCAATTCCTTTCGTTTCTTTGGGAGCCTGTAGGAATGTGAAAGAAATTCACCTCAAGCTCCATTTCGTCTGTTTAGGCTAACGGCCGTATTATGCTGACCCTTGTCTGCCTGTTTGCCGGAGAATGGCGTCTGTCATCATATCTCTCAGCAGCAATCGCCTGTATCAAACTCTGTATTGTGTTGTTTGTTCTTCCGGAAAGTCATATTTGGTTGAGGAAAAAGGTATGTGAACCGAGCTATCTTAACCTGACTGCTTATGCAGTAGTCTTTACTTGAACTATGCCATAGTTCTTATTTTATTGGTCTCCTTTAGGGTCGATATGCCGAAAGTGAGGAAAGTCGAAAACGTATCGCGAAACTAGCTGGAATGCCATTTGAACCAAGTAAGTACATCGTATTTTGAAGTAAATTCGGCTAGTTTCTGGTTGGCCTGCTTGTCTACGTGAAGTTTTCTCGTATTCAAGAGGGGTCGGATCCGTAGGTTGGAACAGACTATTACCCTGATACCCCCTGATATCCTTTGAGAAAGTTCCTACAGCCGTTTGAGAAGAACATTCCCTGAGCTAGCGTCCCAGTAACATCACTCATTTGGTAGTCACTTATTGAAAAGGGAAGAATATTAAAGTAAGCTGTTCATCGGAAACTTATTTGCATATCAGAGGGGAATCAAACGCCTTCATTCAACTGAAATGAAGTCAAAGGCATGGCGCTTCCCGCATTATTTGTATTCGGGAACTTATCTGGAGAAAAGCTAAAAAATGGAAATAAGAAACAGGAAACATGACTCACCTAGATGCTCTAGTGAGACTGATCCATTCAAAGCAGACATGGTTAGCCGCAGCAGCCATTCGCCTAGCAGATAGTGGAGCCAATTGAACTCATCAGCACTCCTCATTGTTTACACAGCTTCATAACTCAATGATTTCAAAAATCTCTTTGTTTGGCACTATCAAGAACGATCTACAGCGATAGTTTTGCTAACAATCGCGCTATGGAACGACGACGTGAAGTAGGATGCTCACAACTGCAGAGTAGTGGGACCTCGATTCACGGAGCAGCAATCTCCAGCCTGCAGGCTCTATGCATCTTCCGCTGCTTGTCCCCTCAGGAGGGGGAGGGGGGGGGGGGCANCGGGGGGGGGGGGGGGGGGGGGGGGGGACATGATACGATCATCGTGGCATAAGCTTTGCAGTCAGGCTTTAGAGTAAGTCGAGTAGAATACGGAACAGCTCGATGCGCTTTTCATCAAGAAGTGGAGATTTCAAAAAGCTGTCGCTGTAGTTCTTCGCTTACGGATTTCTCATGCTTTAGACTCCCACTGAAACTCTAGGATCACGATGCCGTCGGCGAATTTCGCACCCTCTAGGGCTAGGTGATAGTCGGATATGTGTTTTTCCCCTGTTCGGGGAATGAAGGGAAGGACAGAAGGAGTGACACGAGAGTAAACCTCTGAATCCATTGGGTGACGCTGGTGCTTATTGCCGTTGCCGTTAAACCTCAGTCGTTTCAAAGGGATTGCATGACGAAACCTTTTCCTAAGCAGTGACATCATCGGTGACTATTTCCAGTGCCAGCACCCGAAGAAAAAGGAGATGCAGCAAAGGAACCGGAAAAGGCAATCGGCATCATCGATGTGTTCAAGGAGTCGCATTTGAGAAGAAATCTACTTGTTCTTTGGATGATGTAAGTATTAATTTCCCAAGGGACATTTTAAAATATCGCAAACGTCGTCGCTCTAGGTGGTTCGTAACTGGAATTACTGCTTATCTTACTGATCTCTGTGGTGGAGATATGACAAAGAACTTCTGGATTGGACAATTCTTATCTGGAATTCTGCTTTCAATTGTTAGGATTGTAAGTGTTTACGATGTCATACTGTATATTTACAGTACTCAGTACCGGCTTTAATATTGCCGTCTGTTTAGGTGCTCGGATTCGCTGATGGATTCTTGCCATGGATGGGTCGTCGCTTCGTTTTGCTTGTCTCTCAATCTCTGGCTGTCGGATTCTTCGCTTGCGTCGTCGCTTTCTTGTTTATGGGAGCAAAGGTTAGCCTGATTTTGTAAAAAAAATTGTCGGCAACATGCTGATTCCCTTTCTTCGGATGCTTTCTGGGTAAGGTAGCGTGATGTCAGAGAGAAGCCTCTTTTTGTTTTCTTATTTTTTTCTTTCTGAACAAGTGGACTTTGCGTGAGATGATGTGGTTGTGGTTTGTGTTGTTTTCACATGACAGCTGACGAAGAAGTCCATAGATCTCTTTCTTTTTTCATGGTCCTATTCCTATTTTCCTATTTACCTTGCAGGGGGAGGAACAAGAATCAATTTCGTTGTTAAAGAAAAGGAATGCTTCTAATAGAGATGATACTTCGAAGGGAGGCATTTGAGAACCTTTTGAAACATGAAATTGAAATTGGGGTTCAGAAAATACTGATTGGGAAGCAGTATGATTATGCTGTCTAAGAATAGAGGAGTTTTTGTTTGTTCTTCACCATTGAAGAGTTGGCTGTTCTCTGGAAACTTTGTTCGAAGAATAAAGTCCAAGATTAGCGAGTTTAAGAAAAATCGATTTCCTGTCACTTTGACTGATCGCCTTTTCAATGATCTTCACTGGGCCCTATGGGGCCGCCTAACCGGGAGGTTCTAAATAGGTGTTTCCATGAGCTCCTCTAAGAAAGCTTTCACAGTAGTACTTTCTGGCCGGAGCTGTCAGAGTAGTTGAATTTTAGCGGAAACTCGCTTGATCAAGTCGTCCTGAAAACTCACTGGGTAGGTCAGCTCAGATAAATCAAAGTGGGAACCTAGGGGAGCATGGTACAAGGGTGGTATAGGTAGAATCGATCAGAGCCCCTTCACCAAGTCCAATCTCCTCTCTGCTACAGTGCTGCTCCGGTATCTCTTCAGAGTTTTTACTAGTTTGCTTGAAAAAGTATTTTCCATCCGTAGTTCTGGAATCGCCAATGATTTTTGATTCTTTCACTAAGTTTGGTATATATACATTTGTATAACTGTATCTAACTTATGTTCTTTAATAGGGCGAGTGGTACTACACTGCTGTCTATCTGGCTGCATTCGTATTCACCTCGATTGTATGGGAACCATGCTACCTATGCGCATCGGAACTTATGCCTACAGACGTCCGTGCAACAAGTACAGCATCTTGTTCGATTGTCGGACGTATTGCCAACATTATGGCTTCCATGCTGGTCAGTTTGTTTGAAATTCTTTATTGATTAAGACATCTTGTGATAATTCCCACAGTATGTATTCGATATCATCGAGCCGGCCCTTCGGTAAAGCCGTTTGGACCGTTTTGCATATGGAAGCACCTGTGCTGGCCCCTTTCACTTCGGTGGGGCCAAAAAAGGGAGACATGGGAAAGAATAGCGGTGTGGAGTGACTAACAGGTTTACGTCAAAATACTTGATAGCCTTTCGTTTGTAAGATCGAAGCTTCTCCCTAGTTTTCCAAATTACCTAAATTACCCACCTGGACGTGTACTCGGCTGGACAAATGTTTGGGCGATCTCCAGGTAAAAGAACTTGTGGGTGGAAGGCAACGGAGATTCCTTAGATGCAGCTCAGGTTTAAGTCCGTCCCTGTCTGTTCCATCCACACATTCTCATCATAACCCCCATCATTGACTATCAGGGTTTCGAGCCTTTCCATGGGATCTGATACCTTGCCCCGATAAGCCATTTTTTTGTCACTCTACAAGATTCCCGAGTTTTTATAAGACGTTTCAATGGCCAGGCCTTATATTAAAACGTTAATTACCCTTAGCTGCCTCCAAGTGAGGTTCTATACCGAAATTCCTAATATTTATTTTTTTATTAGCCCCATGCTCGACTATTGTATGAGATAGTTTCACGGTGATTATGACAAATTAGATTTGGAAGTTTATTTTTAAGATTCAAAAAATCCAGTTCGGTAAATTAGGTTCGAGATTATTTTCAGAGTGGCTTGAAGACTGTCTACGAACCCGGTGTTCATATGATTTCGATGGCATGTGGTACTGCTAATGTGCTTGTGGCGTTCATCTGGCTTCAAGAGACCAAGAACTGCAGTCTCGATAATGTCGGAAAGAAGGCTGACGTGCCTGCAGAAGCGAAGACGTAAGCTTTTGAAAACTCGGACGTTCAAGGGCGTGTCCCCCCACTGACTGAGCTTATTTTCAGTGATGCCAAAGAGATGGAAACACTTCTGCCGAAAGCAGGTGATGGAGCAGCTCCCGCACATGGAACTTCGACGTCAAAGGATGACGGCGAAGCAAAACACTAGACGCGCAAACTCGTACACCGCCAGTCTTTCGCTCCGCCCCTTTGTTTCTTTTTTTCTTCGTTAGAAATGTGTAGGCGCTTGAGCGCTTCAACAACTCACAGCTTTATATCTCAAAAATCGTAGTTAGCGAATTGAAATGGCGTCACTTTTGTGCTACCGTAATCTCTATTGATTCTGATAGTGTTGATCGATTGGTTGGTTATTATCCCATCTGTCCTCATTTATCATTATCGTGTTTGCGACGTACAGTAATGTGCTGTGGTGGTTGTGCATGTTTAGAACTGGGATGATATCTAAGAACTTTTTCGTACTTATGAAAATTGATGGAGTTCATTTGATCGAGGATGTTTCGAAAACTCGTCCGCCAGGGGGTGGAGTTTCCGCAGCTTACTAGCGAAGTTCACATTTGTCTCCTCTCAAAAAACAACTATTCTTGACATCATCCCAGGATTGACGTGGTGGTAATGCAACTATTTGATAAGTATTTTTAGGGACCTAGTGGGGAGCACCGCCTTCTCACGTGGGCGGAGCGAACCACCATCACGTCATTCCGGCTTCTTTTAGGCTGATTCTTTGATAGTCTCGTAGATAACAGTCTCGTAATGTTCGCATCGTTTTTTTCTGTAACAACGATTTCTATTATTCGTATGTGTGGCGTTGGAATCGTAATTGTGCACCGATTGTTGATTTATCGATTTTTCAAAAGAAATTTTTCTCTATTTTTTTCTTCAGCGTCTTACGACCTGATCAAGTTATATCATTGCAGAGCTGCCCGTTATAAGAAAAAAAGCTCTATTCATTTCTAACACTCGAATACAGTACAGGTCGTAATGTTCGTTTGCTGTAGTGCGTTATTAGACTTCAATAAATCAATCGATTTATTTATTGATTTTTTTNTTTTTTTGAGCGTTTTGAATTGCTGCATTCGGCGGATAAATACTGGCTCGAAGGACGATTGACCCTAAGTAATCGGTTCGACCCCTTCACTTAATGTTTACAATTTAAGTAAATGTGTGTGTCATGACCAGACGCGTGCGGATGCGTGGCGTCGGTGTCTCCTGTATGGACACGGTACTCTTGCCACGAAGTAGAAGTCAGTTTTTCGTTACTTCAGTTAAAATTTGAACCTATTGGCTTACACGGTGTTATACATTAAAATTCATTGATTAGTATGTAAAAGCCAGAAAAACCGAAAATCACCAATAAAATGAAAGAAATCAATAAAGCAATATCAACTCGATCGATTTCGTTGAGGCGATCGATAAAGGGTAGCTTCTTTTTCAACGTAGGTGCTTGCTCCAAATCACGTAACATGTTGTCCATACTGGCATCGTTATAGAAGATGGACCTAAAGATATACATTTATAGAACTTTTGGGAAGCTACTGTAAGTCAGAGCAGTCATCGAGGTTTTCAATGATGTGCCGTGCATCGGTATCCTTCAAAGATCACTTTGTCATAGTCTTGAACTTATTCAATGGCTTTAAGAAATCATCCTCCGCTCAAATTTTTCGAATACATAGTACATTTGATTTAGAGAACTAGTTGCTGTCTGTTTGATGCTCGGTTTCTTCGATCTGAAAAAGCAGCGAGAAACGTAGTGGAAAAGTTTCTGGTGAAAGACGTAATCCTGGAGATGGCCAAGAGTCCCCATCATCCCCTACAAATTAGGCTACTGCAAGCGACTTCTTTGAGACATCGAGGTCGTCTTATCTACTCGGGAACCTCAGCTCAAAGTGAACTATTTTTAGTGCCGTTATTTTGACTTCGGCGACACCTGATACACCTAGCCTCTTGCTTGAAGCTACCGTTTCTTAACCTTAAGCTGTTGACTCGGTAGAGTTAACTGTTTGGGTTAATTCTGTTGGGCTTATGGTGGGAGTAGCCGTCAAGGAAACCGGTTGGCAATGAGTTAAAATTCGATAAGCCGTATAGACTGACAAAAAAGAGTGAAGGCAAATAAAGGGGTAGATATACACAAAGTGACTTTCCGTTGTTTGCTGTATACAGGACTGTTCTGGTGTAAAAATGAAAAACGAACTCTTCTTCCACCTCCCCTGACGCCCCTGATGGTGAGAAGCTGGAAAGCTGGACTGTTTTCGGCANTGCCTTTATCCTGTAACCTAGAATGAGCCACGTATGAGGCTCAGTTAAAGGCTTGATTGTCGGCATCGCTGGCTGCTCTTTGTTGGCTAGTGGGCATAGCTTTAGAATGAAGGACTAAAACGTGGGCAGATTTTTTTGTCGCTAGGCCACCTTGGAAGTTTGCCACCGTTAAGTAATTGAATAGTGCGCAGAAAGTGCTCGGCTCTCATGCACTTTTGCATGAATGGCTGAAAATCGATTCTCTCCTTTCTTTATGAAACTAAAACTCCGGCTCGACTCAGTTTTTGGGGGGAAAGGCAAGGTTTTCGCTTCTTGCGTATAGTACTGCCACTATCACCTCATCAGTTCGACTCCTGGAAAATCCTCATTACTGCTTATCTCATAATACTCATATGCTAATATAATATTAACTCGGGTGGAGGTGGTGCAGTGGCAACAGGTGCACTACCACGCGCATGCCCGAAGATCAAACCACGGGTTGGTAGCTACTCCGGTGAACATCTTCGGGACCGATTAATTGGTACCAGAGTCAACTGGGAGGATAAAAGCACGGACTCGAAGGACGACTGGCCACCGCAAGCCGTTGTATAGGCCACATACACATTCATTACGCCACTGCGATTCTTAATGGTAGTCGAATACGTGGCGCATCCCGAAACGTGGCTGATAACTGCCTAAGCACTTTACCCATAGGTTATCTTTGACATTCACTGACGTCAAGAAAATGAATTGTCTATGTATCATCTCCGGCGTTGATTAATGACCGACAAGAAGCATCTGCGTGCAAGCTGCGC